TCTACTCTCATATCCCAGACCACTTAGTCTACTCTCATATCCCAGACCACTTAGTCTACTCCCATATCCCAGACCACTTAGTCTACAATCATATCCCAGACCACTTAGTCTACTCAATATACTTAGTCTACTTCATATCCCAGGCCACTTAGTCTACTCCCATATCCCAGACCACTTAGTCTATTCCCATATCCCAGGTCACTTAGTCTACTCTCATATCCCAGACCACTTAGTCTACTGTCATATCCCAGGCCACTTAGTCTACTATCATATCCCAGACCACTTAGTCTACTCTCATATCCCAGACCACTTAGTCTACTCCCATATCCCAGACCACTTAGTCTACAATCATATCCCAGACCACTTAGTCTACTCCAATATCCCCGACCACTTAGTCTACTTCCATATCCCAGGCCACTTAGTCTACTCCCATATCCCAGACCACTTAGTCTATTCCCATATCTCAGGTCACTTAGTCTACTCTCATATCCCAGGCCACTTAGTTTACTATCATATCCCAGGCTTCTTAGTCTACTCTCAGATCCCAGGCCACTTAGTCTACTGTCATATCCCAGACCACTTAGTCTACTGTCATATCCCAGGCCACTTAGTCTACTATCATATCCCAGGCCACTTAGTCTACTGTCATATCCCAGACCACTTAGTCTACTGTGATATCCCAGGCCACTAAGTCTACTGTCATATCCCAGACCACTTAGTCTACTGTCATATCCCAGGCCACTTAGTCTACTCTCATATCCCAGGCCACTTAGTCTACTATCATATCCCAGACCACTTAGTCTACTCCCATATCCCAGGCCACTTAGTCTACTCCCATATCCCAGACCACTTAGTCTACTCCCATATCCCAGGCCACTTAGTCTACTCCCATATCCCAGGCCACTTAGTCTACTCCCATATCCCAGGCCACTTAGTCTACTCCCATATCCCAGGCCACTTAGTCTACTCCTATATCCCAGACCATTTAGTCTACTCCCATATCCCAGGTCACTTAGTCTACTCTCATATCCCAGGCCAGCTTAGTCTACTATCATATCCCAGGCTTCTTAGTCTACTCTCAGATCCCAGGCCACTTAGTCTACTGTCACATCCCAGGCCACTTAGTCTACTTTCATATCCCAGGCCACTTAGTCTACCGTCATATCCCAGGCCACTTAGTCTACTATCATGTCCCAGGCCACTTAGTCTACTCTCATATCCCAGGCCACTTAGTCTACTCCCGTATCCCAGGCCACTTAGTCTACTGTCATATCCCAGACCACTTAGTCTACTCCCATATCCCAGGCCACTTAGTCTACTGTCATATCCCAGCTAGGTCACTTAGTCTACTCCCATATCCCAGGTCACTTAGTCTACTCCCATATCCCAGGTCACTTAGTCTACTCCCATATCCCAGGTCACTTAGTCTACTCCCATATCCCAGACCACTTAGTCTACTCCCATATTCCAGACCACTTAGTCTACTCCCATATCTCAGACCACTTAGTCTACTCCCATATCCCAGGCCACTTAGTCTACGTCCATATCCCAGACCACTTAGTCTACTCCCATATCACAGGTCACAGTCTACTCCCATATCCCAGGCCACTTAGTCTACTCCCATATGCCAGGCCACTTAGTCTACTCCCATATCCCAGGCCACTTAGTTTACTCCCATATCCCAGGTCACTTAGTCTACTCCCATATCCCAGACCACTTAGTCTACTCCCATATCCCAGACCACTTAGTCTACTCCCATATCCCAGAGCACTTAGTCTATTGGAAGTTGGATAAACATAAGGATAATATAAATATATTTATTAGTAAAGTTTAAGTATCTAAATACATCATCTGGTCATAACAATACAGAATACAGCTTAAGATACAAGGATACAGCTATTGCATGGCATCAATAGTAGCACTGTATTATACAACATACATTGTGGAAAAATAAACTATGTGTAAAACACGTTCACAAATAAAATAATGTATTAGTGCAAACTAAAGCTAAAATAATGTATTAATTCAAACTTAAAATAGTATTTTGACATTTGAGATTAAAATATCTTAAATACTTGACGTTGGTAACACTGACACTGTCGTCAGCTGACGTTGGTAACACTGACACTGTCGTCAGCTGACGTTGGTAACACTGCCACTGTCGTCAGCTGACGTTGGTAACACTGCCACTGTCGTCAGCTGACGTTGGTAACACTGCCACTGTCGTCAACTGACGTTGGTAACACTGACACTGTCGTCAGCTGACGTTGGTAACACTGCCACTGTCGTCAGCTGACGTTGGTAACACTGCCACTGTCGTCAGCTGACGTTGGTAACACTGCCACTGTCGTCAGCTGACGTTGGTAACACTGCCACTGTCGTCAACTGACGTTGGTAACACTGACACTGTCGTCAGCTGACGTTGGTAACACTGCCACTGTCGTCAGCTGACGTTGGTAACACTGCCACTGTCGTCAGCTGACGTTGGTAACACTGACACTGTCGTCAGCTGACGTTGGTAACACTGCCACTGTCGTCAGCTGACGTTGGTAACACTGACACTGTCGTCAGCTGCCGTTGGTAACACTGCAAGATCATGAAAGTTAAAAATCATTTATAATTCCTGAAAATTACCAATAACTGATATATATCTGGCAATTATTGCCTAATATGAAGTTATATCTGGCTATTATTGCCTAATATGAAGTTATATCTGGCTATTATTGCCTATTATGAAGTTATATCTGGCTATTATTGCCTAATATGAAGTTATATCTGGCTATTATTGCCTGCTATGAAGTTATATCTGGCTATTATTGCCTGTTATGAAGTTATATCTGGCTATTATTGCCTAATATGAAGTTATATCTGGCTATTATTGCCTATTATGAAGTTATATCTGGTTATTATTGCCTGTTATGAAGTTATATCTGGCTATTATTGCATATTATTCAGTTGTATCTGGCTATTATTGCATATCATTCAGTTGTATCTGGCTATTATTGCCTATTATGAAGTTATATGTGGCAATTCTTCATAAAATTTTGATAATTATAAACTGTGATGGTTTTGGAATCATTAAGCTCGAAAATAAAAATTTGAGGGAGATTCAAAATCTTTCTCTAGTTACCCCTTATATACTTTGCATTTTCTTTCATATTCGATAAAAGAAAATGTAAACTTAAGTAACGACCCAAACTTTAACAAACTTCAAGCACTAATGATATTACCATTTATTTAACCTGAAATTTTGTGTTTATAATGCAATATATAGAGTATTTTGATTTGTTCTAATAAAATATTTAACTCATACGATTACTATTTTGTAAATATTTAAAGATTTGCGCATTTTGATGTTCTTCATTACATTAGAATAACGAAAACAAGTTAATTACCAATGTGAAGTATTTAATACATAAATTACTAAAGTCTTAAGCCTGAACATTTACCCTTAATTAAAGTGTTTTATGAACAATTACAATATATACAAAGTTGTATAAAATATACATAATGTGCAGTAATATACTTAAGAAATATTTACTCTTCAAAGATCACTACAGTATAGTGAGGAATGATATTGTGTGGGACTTTTCTCTTAAATATTTGTGTTGTATAACTCACTGTATACATGAATACACTGAATACATACATATAATTTACATACATGTAAAAATATATGAATATCAGGAACGAATATTAATTTTTACTTTCGCTAAACACCATATGGTAATTAACTAAATTAACTTCACAAAATATCTCCCAATTTGATAAGTGCCAAACCGGTTCTCCTAATAGCACGTCGTATTTTGACGTATACTCGCTCTCTAAGATCAAAAACTGACGTATTAGAGAATGGAAGCGGCTCGCGAGATTGGCATACTGTCCTGTTTTCTGTTTTGGGTCCTCTGGTAGGTTAGGATTAGGGCACTTTAGTACGGCAATTTCTTGACGTTGGGAAACCTTAGGAGGACGGGCTGAACTGTGGAGGATTGTAACCTATCCACCGCTGCCCACTGGATGGGTATGGGGTCCACTACCACCCACTGGATGGGTATGGGGTCCACTACCACCCACTTGATGGGTATGGGGTCCACCGCTGCCCACTGGATGGGTATGGGGTCCACCGCTGCCCACTGGATGGGTATGGGGTCCACCGCTGCCCACTGGATGGGTATATGGTCCACCGCTGCCCACTGGATGGGTATATGGTCCACCGCTGCCCACTGGATGGGTATGGGGTCCACCGCTGCCCACTGGATGGGTATGGGGTCCACCGCTGCCCACTGGATGGGTATGGGGTCCACCGCTGCCCACTGGATGGGTATGGGGTCCACCGCTGCCCACTGGATGGGTATGGGGTCCACCGCTGCCCACTGGATGGGTATGGGGTCCACCGCTGCCCACTGGATGGGTATATGGTCCACCGCTGCCCACTGGATGGGTATGGGGTCCACCGCTGCCCACTGGATGGGTATGGGGTCCACCGCTGCCCACTGGATGGGTATGGGGTCCACCGCTGCCCACTGGATGGGTATGGGGTCCACCGCTGCCCACTGGATGGGTATGGGGTCCACCGCTGCCCACTGGATGGGTATGGGGTCCACCGCTGCCCACTGGATGGGTATGGGGTCCACCGCTGCCCACTGGATGGGATGGGGTCCACCGCTGTGGATGGGGTCCACCGCTGCCCACTGGATGGGTATGGGGTCCACCGCTGCCCACTGGATGGGTATGGGGTCCACCGCTGCCCACTGGATGGGTATGGGGTCCACCGCTGCCCACTGGATGGGTATGGGGTCCACCGCTGCCCACAGGATGGGTATGGGGTCCACTACCACCCACAGGATGGGTATGGGGTCCACCACCACCCACAGGATGGGTATGGGGTCCACCACCACCCACAGGATGGGTATGGGGTCCACTACCACCCACAGGATGGGTATGGGGTCCACTACCACCCACAGGATGGGTATGGGGTCCACTACCACCCACAGGATGGGTATGGGGTCCACTACTGCCCACAGGATGGGTATGGAGTCCACCACCACCCACAGGATGGGTATGGGGTCCACCACCACCCACAGGATGGGTATGGGGTCCACCACCACCACAACAAATACTTAACTCCCGAATATCTGTTTTACTACCAGGTGGACAGGTGTATCAGGTGACAGGAAACATGCCCACCTATTTATGTTGTGCCCGGGGATTGAGCATTGATTGTGAGGCAAGTACGTAGACTACTGCGCTACAGGGAGCATATAATGGAATGTCGGATACTAAACAAAACAATGAAAGTGTTGTGGAGGTTCCTAAAGATAAGTCAACTAGAACAACACTGGACGCGGGTGTCGGCGCCCCGGGTGTCGGTGCCCCGGGTATTGACGCCCCGGGTGTCGGCGCCCCGGGTGTCAGAGCCCCAGGTGTAGAGCCTGTTAATTATTCGTGTCAGAGATCCATGGCGTGAGGTCGAGCCCCGGGATGCCGGGACTGTCACAAGGGATCCTCTCGTTCCTGAAAACAGAGAATCCGTCAGTCGTCTGCACGTCCACGAACGTCATCAACACGCACCGCTAAACATATTATTCCCAAAGGACCTCAGTCCGGCAGGGAAGCCTAACTGAAAAGGTGTATCAGATGAAAGGAAATGTGCCCAACTATATCTGTCCTCCCTGGAATATCTGATGATGAGTCTAGAACGAAGCCAACTGTGCTACGAGACCCTTTGTTTATATATAAACGGTTAAGTTCTCAGTAACTAAAAAGGTGTTTGTTGTGTCATTATCTAAGCTGAGATGAAATGTATTGACAAAAGTTGCAAGAGAAGTTAGCAGCGCCTCTGACAACGTTGGTATACTAGTTATACCACACACATCAGAGTATGTCATGCCATCACAAATACTGTTAACAAATATATTACCACTCAAAATACATAGTTTCTAATTAGAAATGCTATTATATATCATAAGTTAAAAAGATTTTAAATTTAAAATTGCATTTGATCTTTAAAAACTTAAGTAAATGACCTTTATCACAGGAATCATGGAATCAAGGGAGCCCCCGGCCTCCCTTGGTGTCCTGGCCAGCCCACGGCCTCCCTTGGTGCCCTGGCCAGCCCACGGCCTCCCTTGGTGCCCTGGCCAGCCCTCGGCCTCCCTTGCAGCCCTGGGGCGGGCGACCAGGTCAAGGTCCAAGACCCATGGGGCGGGTGACCCCATTCACTCCCGGCAGTCACGCGTGCACTCTACCTGAGTCATGCTTAGGTCTCCTATACTTATGCTTAAACTCTAAGCACCCATACATGGGTTGCAAATCCACGCTTGCAAACATACACTTTCAACACTCATCTTACCAGTACTAAGACTACAACCGTGCGAGCGGGGCACACACACCTGGGCAGGTGTACTACAGGTGGTGCACCTGCCAAGGTGCTCACCCTAACCTAACCCACCACCTCTTAACCTCACTAAGACTACGACCGTGCGTGGGGCACCACTCACCGTGCAGGGACGGGTCGCCCCGCGCTCACTTGGGCAGGTGGTCGCGCACAGTCGTAGTCCTAATTTACCCTACTAATGGTAGCACCATACTAGTGGTTTCAATAGTAACAACAGTGTGTTCTGTCTACTAGTGGGCTGCATATATGATTGTTACAACAGAAGAGAACTTGCAAAGGAAACGAGCATGTCATTTTATAAATATTGAGTAAACTACAATAAATGTGTTAATTACTCACAGTCCCCGAGGCAGACGGAAGGCGAGGGGCTGGACGTAGCCCAACATGTCGCCAGTCTCACACAGGACGCGCGCCCATGACATCATCCGGATAGAGTTGAGTTGTGCTGTGAGAATATCACATTATATATATGACGTAGTTATTAAGGTAACGATACCTTAACTCAGCGCTACAATGCAACTATTATCCCAGCCATTACAATGGGAGTTCTATCCCCCATTGTCTTCACATATCCAATGGGTTTGGACTTATCCAATACGTTGCTTGTGCTGCATGTTCCTGTGTGGATAAAACCACCCCTGTTTTATCCACACGTGAACACATAGTTGAATATTCAGGTTATTGAATATACTGTTCCAATATTGAGTACACAAACAGTGCAGGTCAAAGTGTTCCAACATTAACATAGCCAAGCATCAATTTGCCTGCCTGTAACTAGCACTGGTCCCTGTGACCCTTGTCACTTAACATCCTGTTTTGAACATCTAAAACGGCTATTTATGTATGTGAAAATATGTGTGATATTTTAACATATAATCATCTGGGCTGTCAACGGAAGGAATATTGAAACAGACCTTCAGTGAAGGATGTGGGCATCCCTCCTAAGTCATAGAAGAACCTGTCTGACCGCTTCAGCCTGGTGAACTGCTCTCCAACGATGCACCTGAGTGGCGGGAAACATGAGATTAGTCAAGCAGTTTTATGCCTGAAATATATACGATTGAAAAGGCATTATCTTGAGTGGAGGAGCTGGAAAACACATGATTGGTCAAACGTTTTGCTGTGTGACGGGAAAACATATGATTGGTCAATAAAGGTCAAGGGAAGGGAATTATCAGGGGAAAGCGCCAAGCCATTATAACTATATAGCACTGGGAAAGAATCAGGATTAGGATTTGGGATGGAACGGGGGAAGGAATGGTGCCCAACCACTTGGACGGTTGGGGATTGAACGCCGACCGGAATGAAGCAAGACCGTCGCTCTACCGTCCAGCCCAAGTGGTTGGACCCCAATAAAGGCCAAGATTACCTCCAGTGCTATCTCGCTATCTTCCCTGTATTGGTTTCCAAGTGTCGGAGATAGGAAGCTTTAAGTTAGGCTTATCAAGGTCCCTTAAGGTCAATGACTTTCTCAACATGCAACCCATAACAGATGCCTTACTCCTCGGTTGACAAAGGCATTAGGAGTAAGGAAACGTGCCCAAATGTTTGGTCTTACCTTGGATTCGAACCCAAGACCATTCGGTTATGTGCAGGCTTATCTGACCACTGCGCAACAGGAATTCTAGATTTCTTTATTCCTTTCACTCCCACTGTGTTAAGCATTGTCATCCTTCTTCTCTCTCTACCACCTTCGTTGTGGTTGCATATATTCTTGAATAAACACAATAATAACATTATTATTAAGATCTCACCTGAAGGTGGGTCCGAGGAAGGCCCCCGGGACGCGCCTCTCAGAGATCCCGGCTATGAAGGGGTCGATGTCATCGACGGAGGCGTAGAGCTGCTGGAGCACGCGCACAACCTGTACGGAGAGCGACGGTCTTAGTGTATGAGGCAGGTGCTGGCGGCCAAGATGGACGCCGGGGTGTACCAGGAAGCAGGGGTAAGGTCCCCCGCGACACTCCAGGTGCAGTGTTTGGTGCACAGTATTCACCAACACTGTTAACAGTCGAGGTGGGTATAAGGTAGAGGAGAGTTAACATGACCACAGCTGCTGAAGAGTCTCACTACCAGTCGCTCACCATCTACCAGACAATGGTGACTTACGCACTCACTGAGGACCGTTACTCTCTTGTTTAATACAGCAACTTTTACCTCACTGCCTAAGAACACTTGACTATATGAGTTATATATTGTTACAAGCAATGGTACAAGATAGTGACGTCCTGCATCAACGCTATTTTCTGCTGTGTTTTTACCCTTTGTTTGTAGTTGGCCTTTATTGATATATTATTATATATTATATATTTCAATAAGAGGTGAATAACACGTCACCTGTGTTACTGTCTTCGTTAACGAGGTGATTCCGTCACTACATGAACCCTCGTTAGTAATAATCAGTGGATTGTTTGAATTAATTATGTCAGTGATTGGATTGCAGTATTATTGTGATGATAGTCAACTTGTTTATGTCAGAATGTTAGTGTTAGAGTGAAGTTAACCTGTAGCTTGATTCATGGTGTTTTCCCTTTCACCAATACAGTAACTCTAATGAACAAATCCACAAGGATTCGAACCTACGTCCGAGAAGATCCCAGACGTGGCTTAATCGACTGAGCTACAACATGGTTAAAGAATTGCAACCGGGAGTTCAGCTTGACCTACCACAGATCCTGCAGTCTCTCCGAGACACAAACCAGGGTTTTACACAATTTCCCCCATGCACCCGACCTGTCAATAAGCTATTCTACCTCTTCGCCCTTACTTCAAACAGTAACTCTAGTTTGGGGTGAGGCCGAGTAAGGAGAGACCCGGGGCGACACTGCAGGTACGACCGTTATAGCTCAATTAGATGTTGTTGTTGTTTCAGATTTAGCTACTCAGAACGAAGTGTCCAAGTAGCACGGGCTATGGTAAACCCGTAAACTCTCAATTAGACTTAACTTTACTCTAAACACATGGAGATGCTGGTGCCCCTCACTATGTCTCATCTACCAGCAAGCCTTACCTCCGGCCGGATAACGTCGAGCAGGTCCTCGAAGGTCCTGGCCCTTGGAAGTCCGCAAGCTTCTCTCAGTTCATTATAGGGAGCGATGCCGTGGTCGCGGCCCCGCTGGGTGTTGAGGGCCACCAGGTCCAGCCCTTGAGGCATCGCTTCAGTCTGAAACATCAGCGTCAGATATTAATGTGTGTTCAGGCTTGACGCATTGTAGCAACCTATTCCTCTTGTGTATATACTGTGTGTACACCTCCCATCAACCTCACTCCTCCAAACACAACAACTATATTTCTATATTACATACGATGTTCATTATACAAAAATCATCTTCCTGCATTAAATACACTCATAAATTGAAGCATAAAACTCTGGCTGTATTCCTCTTTGATACATATATATATATATAAAGCCAAGGGTGGCCTGGAAATTAACAGATATAAGACAAGACTGAGAGCAGGCGATGAGTCACAATAACGTGGCTGAAGTATGATGACCAGACCACACACTAGAAATTGAAGAGACGACGACGTTTCGGTCCGTCCTGGACCATTCTCAAGTCGATTGTGATGAGGACAGGTAGGGACAGGAATTAAATAGGCAAGAGAGCTGAGGAGGAAAGTCAGGTGTAGGGGATAGTAGTAATGAGAACTGCAGCAGGCCTATTGGCCCATACGAGGCAGCTCCTATTATAACCACCGAAACGTCGTCGTCTCTTCAATTTCTAGTGTGTGGTCTGGTCATCACAAGACTGAGAGTATGAAGCGAGGGACAACTCACCTGGAAGAGTCTGTTGGTGAGGGAGGAAGAGACAGAGTTGTCCAGCTCCTGGGTGGGTTGTGTGGCCAGGCCGCGGAGGAGGCCGTCCAGCCTGCCGGGGCCGTAGACGCCGCGCGGGTTGTTGAAGTTGTCGTGGAGCAGCACCGAGCCCTCTGACATGCCCTTCTTCCCCACCAGCCTGCATGAGAACACTATGTGAACATTGGTCAACATTGTGTACCTTGAGGTTACTGTGGACACGAGTGAACGCCATCTGGTTCTTACTTCAAACAATTTAAAACTGAATTAGCGTTCATCACTCTTGAATGCAGAAATCTAAGGACTCAGCCCACCACTTTTCACCGATTTTGTGGGGGGGGGGGGGCACTATCTGGCCTTACCCCGTCTCAATAGGACCTGACACTGACCAGTTTATGTCCGTCCCATACTCAAGACCACTCGCCCTGCAAAATTAGGTGAGGCTAAGCCGAAGCTTCTGGCCTCCAACTTTGGACAAACATATGTAGACAAATTAAGTAATATGCACAGCCTCCTGTTAATTTTTCATATGGCTTTTGTTATTTACAACACCTCATATTTGCATATGCAAGATACTAAATGTTCAGTCTGAAACTTTAGTAATGCCTTTAAATAATGTCTAGTAGGCAAGTTACATATGCAAATTAACATAGGCGATTTCAATTTCAGTTACGACTATCATAGTCCATAACAAATACCCATACAAGATAAAATCTGCTATTAATTACCTACACCAGAGAAAATTTCCAATTGATTACTCATACAGGATAAAATCTGAAGTTGTTGCTGTTATGAAAAGTAATTATTATTCTTTGTTACAAGGAAAACAGTCTCGAGGGCAGGAACTTGGATTAAGAAAAGTTTAGTATTGGTGTCTGACATTTGAAGAATTATTGCCACTGGGTATTGGTCACTTACTGAAGCATGCTCTGGGTATTGGTCACTTACTGAAGCATGCTCTGGGTATTGGTCACTTACTGAAGCATGCCCTGGGTACTGGTCACTTACTGAAGCATGCTCTGGGTATTGGTCACTTACTGAAGCATGCCCTGGGTACTGGTCACTTACTGAAGCATGCTCTGGGTACTGGTCACTTACTGAAGCATGCTCTGGGTATTGGTCACTTACTGAAGCATGCCCTGGGTACTGGTCACTTACTGAAGCATGCCCTGGGTACTGGTCACTTACTGAAGCATGCTCTGGGTATTGGTCACTTACTGAAGCATGCCCTGGGTACTGGTCACTTACTGAAGCATGCCCTGGGTACTGGTCACTTACTGAAGCATGCCCTGGGTACTGGTCACTTACTGAAGCATGCCCTGGGTACTGGTCACTTACTGAAGCATGCCCTGGGTATTGGTCACTTACTGAAGCATGCCCTGGTTATTGGTCACTTACTGAAGTATGCCTTGGGTATTGGTCACTTACTGAAGCATGCCCTGGGTACTGGTCACTTACTGAAGTATGCCCTGGGTATTGGTCACTTACTGAAACATGCCCTGGGTAGTGGTCACTTACTGAAGCATGCCCTGGGTATTGGTCACTTACTGAAGCATGCCCTGGGTATTGGTCACTTACTGAAGCATGCTCTGGGTACTGGTCACTTACTGAAGCATGCCCTGGGTACTGGTCACTTACTGAAGCATGCCCTGGGTACTGGTCACTTACTGAAGCATGCCCTGAGCAAGGGAGTGGCCGAAGCGGAAGGCAACGGTGGTGAACTCATTCAAGAGAGCAGCGTTGATGTTGCTGTCGTAGTCCCTAGAGTAGCCCTCCCGCCGTGGCAGTAGTCCGTTCTCGGCCATGTAGTCCTTGCCTGCAAGGTCACACAAGGTTAAGGTCTGGTCAGGGAGGTCACAGACACCCGGGGTCACGTCAGGACAAGTGACAATAACAGAGGACAATGGAGGAGCAACCATGCAGGCACCACAACACTAAAATAATGTATAACTAAGCGAAATAACTGCAGGAAGGCAAAATACAATATTGTAAAAAGTGTAAACTCTAAATGATATTAGTCATATATAACTAGTAATAATTCTATTAGCCACTTTATTGTATCAGCTAAGGCTAAATGAAGAATGTTTACCTAGGATAATCGGTAGAAATTCATTGTAGATGATGTGCTGGTAGATGGCCACCACTATCCTCCTGGTCTCCTGGTAGATGGTCTCGTCTGACCAGTCTGGGTTGAGACGGGCCAGCTCCCGGGCGATGCGGTTGTGTAGTCTCAAGAACGATGTCTGGATGGCAGTGAGGCTGATGTGCTGATTCACCCGGTTGTCTCCTGTCCGGGGATTGATAATAATCACTGACTTGGTCACAACGAGGTCCTTGGTCCAGGTACTCTTGCTGGGTACCTCCAGCTTGGTACTCTTACCAATAAAATAATTTGGTGTAGAGAGGCATCAGATGCTGGCAGACCAAAGGTCGCCACTATTCCTCTGCCCGCCTAAGTAGTACCTCAATATATTTACCAATTATATCTAACTGTAGGATGTATACAAACTTTTTGTTAATGTATATATACAGATATTTTTTAAAAGATTGTCATCTGGTATTCTTGGGCAAGCGTCAGCGGTCATCAGTGACTAGAATAAAAATGGCGGATGGAGAAAGTTGCGTGGAAGGGGGTCCTGGGGTGTAGCAGGACCTAATCCAATTCATGTGTACCCAATGACTAAAGCTCCTTGGGAACGAGTATGAATGGATTTGTTGACAAATTTTGTGGAACCAGAAAAAGGGAACAAACACTTGCTTGTAATGGTTGATAATTTTTCACAATATTGCAAACTAGTTTCTATCCCGAACAAAGCAGCAGAAACTATAGCCAGTGCATTCCAAGACCAAATAATTTGTAGATATAGTATGCCTAAAATAATCCTTTCAGATAATGGTCCAGAATTCAGTAATAGCATTTTAACTAGCTTGTGCGATTTATATAACATTAAAAAAATGTAGTATTATGCCATATCACCCAGCAAGTAATGGGTTAGCAGAGCATACTAACAGGAAAGTATTAGATGCTTTGAAAGTAATCTTGAATTTTAATAACAGTAATTGGGATGAGTTTATACCCTTAATTCAGTGTGCCTTAAATTCTTTGATTAATGTTTCTACAGGTGACACTCCTCACACTAATTCTTTATGGTACAGATAAGATCCTCCATAATGAATTGATTAACGTACCCCCTACTCCTTTGTATAACATAGATGATTTTGTTCAAGTGAAGCGTAGACAAATGCAACTAGTTTTCAAGAAAATAAGAGAACACTTGTCAAAGGCAACAGCCGAGTTCACTCGAGCGAGGAATGCACAAGCTAAGCCCAGTAAGATAATTGTTGGATCTATAGTAATGGTACTTAACCAACACAGGTCTGGCCCTATGTACAAGTTAACTAAGTAATTTTTGGGTCCATATAAGGTAATCGAGCTTAACAAAGGAAACAAGTTCAGACTTAAGAATTTGTTAACAGGAGAGTATATAAATAAACAATTAGCCCACATGAAGCTAGCCAAAATGACTGTTGACGAGACCGATGAGGAAGATGACAATGAACTTACCCAAACAGATTCTTCTATTGGACACCACCTTCTGTGGTTGACAGACCACTTGATGTACAGCCAAAAGTTCCATTAAAGTTCTAGCAACCACACTGCTGATTCCTGACTGCTATCACTCACATGTTAGCCTTCTCGATCCAGTCCTTGTATATAGCTTGTAAATATATTGTACATAAATTTTTTTCTGTCATCTAATCTTAAAATTCCTTTGTGGTTGTTAGGTCAGAACTTTTGTTCTATTAAAACTGAAAATTGTCTTTAATCATTTTTCCAAGCACATGCCATTAACACATGTTAGTAATTTGTTTTAGGCACCACCTTGAATTGTATTGTTCATACCTAATACCTAGACATGTATATGTTCTCCATGTTCTTGTTCAGTTCAAGCATTGTCATCATGACTTTTCACCTACTATGTTCTAATTTTTTTGTGCACATACCAAACGGTGTTAGTATTCCACACACCTGAGCTTCTATTAATGTTTATTATGCAATTTCACATGTAAGCCATTATTGAATGCTACCGAGGTCCTTCTCAATATCATTGTAACTATCTAGCTAGCCAGAGCTTGTCGACAAGGGACGTCGACTTGGTAGTGTGTCCGAGCGGTGTTAGTATTCATATTGTACGATGGTTGGGATATAGCCAATCACAGTAGAGTAAGCCTCTTACGTCATTCTCCACATAGAGCTGGTACTAGCCGTTCTGGTAATGAGCCAGTATTCACACAGACCAGAGTTAGGTACGACCTCGGCCGGCCAGATAAACAACTTGTTACCTTACCAATAAACTGCTGAAGTGATCAACCGTATATCCTCTACTATCCAGCAAGAACCATATATCCAAGAAGGTAACTAATAGCGGGGATTTACTATGCCAGTTGTTTCAGCTGAGGCACTGTTTGAACTGATTTATGCGCAGGAAAACAAAAGCATCATTCTGAATAATTCAAGCTCTAAATATATAATGAGTCTAGATTTCATATCATATTTTCTATGTGCGACTTGATGATTTTTCTCTGTGGATGAACATTTATGGTGTCTGAATAATGTGTCTATATTTATCTTGGGAGAATGTGTCTATATTATTTTGGGAGATGTGATGTCAGGATTGGAAGAGTTTTGCCTATAATGATATTTCATATCCCAGCACACTAATTAAAGTCAAGACTGAGGTGTTGGAGCCTGCTGATTGATGTTTATGTTACCTTTGAATAATTTTTGGTTGTAAATGATATTATTAATATTATAAACAATCTAGGCATTACTGTTCTCCTTTGGGGAGTTACCAGACATTTACCAGCAGGCTCGTCTAATACATCCCGAGGAGCACAACCAAGTGAAACTACTTGTAGGGTACCAATGGGTAGTTCTAGCCTAAACCATGGTGAGCACAATAACTTAATAGGTATCTTCAGCTGGGTACCTAACCCTGGAGATCTTCAGTTGATCCAGCTTTTTATTAAGCAATAACGGCAAGATATTCTAAATTTGTGGTAGTAAAGGATTTATAAGTAGAATAAAACTTCCATCAATTTCAATAGTGAAGAAAGCTAAATGAGGTGCTGAATTTTCCTCGAGAAAATGACGTTTGGCGCACTCTCAGGGTTAAAAGAGACAGCAGATGTGAATTGATGTCCAGAATTAAAATAAAGAAAATGCCAAACAATGAACACATACTAAAAATATCAACAATTAGAAGCATAACGAACTACAAGGTTTCACGTGTGTATCAATAGTTGGTTTATACAGGAATGTATATACAGACACAGACACTTGGGCGGTATTTTACCAGTTCTGACATGAAGCACTTCCTCACAAATTCGCCAAAATGACAGACTCATAGAGATGGATAGAGGCACTGTCAAGTTCAAACGAGAGGAAAACATCTTACCGGCTCTTAAACATGGATTTCTTTCCCTGGCGGGTTGGCACAAGATGTTGTCAGGGTCGGGAGGGAGGAGATCCCGTCCCTGCACGTTCAGGAGGCCGCCACGGAACTGTCGCAGCTGCTGCTGCTCCTGGGCGCTCGACCCGTAGATTTGCGACCCGTCCAGATGGTGCGTGACCTGGTTCATCTGCCGGGGATAAAGTACTCTAAATATGGCGAGATAGTGGGTATGATGGTAAGGGAGATTGTATAGATGTGTGCGTCAGTATAAGTAACTACAGCCTCCACATAACTCACCTGCTCAGCGTATCCTAAATTACAGGGGTTGGCACGGGGAGCGAACATGGACCTGACGAAGTTCATACAGCGGCGGCCACTCTCACCGAAGAAGGGGTCGTTGGCGGGGACCTCGATGGGTAAGCATGCCGGGTGGAGTAAGGGCGGGGACACCACGTTGCGACCGTTGTTACTGCAACACTGGATACCACTCATGTTCCCTGGCCAGCCAACATACACACTTGTTATCACCGGAAATGTTACTTTATTTAACACACACGCAATAAAATGTTCTCTCTGAGCATACTTGGTTGGAGGGGTACCAGGGGGAACCCAGTGGTGTATGGCTCTACCATAAAGGGTGTCTTCACTTATGTACACTACAATGTAAATCTACCATCAGAACATGTCGCCAATCAACTAACATATGAGGAAGTACGGAGATGACTCTGATCATCGCCACCAACCGCGCGGGTGAAGGCACGGGGCCCGCCCCACCACACCCTTCCAACCTCGGAAAGTCCAACACTGGCATTGCCTTTTCTAGATACAGATGTAACTTTTTTCAATGTTATCCCAGTTGTAAATTAATTATATCGCATTAACTTTGCATTATTATTTTGTCGGCCATTAATTAATACCAATTGACATAGGCTGCTAGTCAATGGGAAATACTGTATTAGGATGAATGCGCCTGATGACTGGGAGCTCTTGGTGATGATCAAGGTAAAGAACACGTTGTCAAACAGAATAATGAATATTTCGTGCAACTTGAAGTTATCTCATTGATTGGTGTTATGCACACTGGTCAATTCGTCCAGCTCATAGTACAGTGGGCGTGCAGATAAATACACACTTTTATATTTACACCTTGTGTGCCGAGGTCGTCCGCAATTGTGTTTACCGCGCGGGATGTTTTGTAAGTGGAAGTGAGAATATGGTTGTGTGTTTCAAACCAAGATGCCTCTGGAATCGTCGGCATATTGTAAAACTAAATCATGAATACTCTAGTTTTCTTCATGGGCATTAGTAAATAGACCACACGAAGACTTTCCAAAGGTTGCAGTAACTTAGTGATCAGGAGGAACATATTACAAGGATTCAACTTTAATATTATCCTCTCCATCAGAAGATGGAATACTTGGCTTTAACAGCATGGGGCGGGAGACTGTGGCTCCTCACCTGCAGCTCCACACCGACTCCTTGCAAAAGGACATGATGTGCCCTTACAACTGTTGCCAGCACACTGTGCAATACTCAACTATAGAACTGAGGATGAATTACCAAAGACAATGCACATGATCACACGCTTCGCACACCATCCAGTTCTCCATATAGTATAAAAAGGAGCCCTAAATCAACCTCCACACAAAACTTTGCAACGAAATGGCAGATGCCGTGCTCATGAGCATACTATAGAAGCATATAAATCGACCTGGGAAACTTAGAAACACTACAGGCGTGATAACAGAGACGTAGTCTCGGGCTGGGTCGCACCAAACTAGCAGCACACAACTATAATTACTGGACAGATATAAGTGAACATTTTCGGGCTATTCATGCCAGTGCCACCTCTTGGGTGGCTTAATCTTCATCAATCAATCAAGTGAACAGTGTATCCACCTCCATGTTCGAGAAAATTTATCATTTAATATAAATCATTCATAATAACATAAAGTATTCGAAATTTAATTCATGTGGCAGCAATAATCGGTTATGTCATCTATATTACAAGGTTTTATGTTTCTAATAGGATTCTTAGCAGGCATAAAGATTTTAAATGCTAAAAATATTGTCACTCATGAAGACGTAAGCTGTTTATTCCAATATGGCGGCCAAATGGCACCTGCCGCACCATGTCTGCACTCGGTACTCTCTCTACATATATATCTCAATGATTTATTCTTACCGAGTCTGTTGATGGGAGTCTGGACGAGGTCGTGGTCGATGAACTGACCCCACTGCATGAGGGAGAGGGTGTAGTCTGGGCTGGGATTGTCCACGTCTCCTGCTATGCTGGTGGACACCAGCCTGGCGGAGGGCAGCGGGCCGCCCAGCACACTCTGACGAGGCCGGAACAAACCTGCATAGAAATAAACAATTGTAAATATGTTAAAATGTATGGTATTTGGGGATGTGTTGGCCTATGGTTTGCCTTAAATATATAAGCATTTAATTGTTGTGTATATCTTGTAGCCCCTCCTCAGGGTAAAGTGATTATATTCAATGGCCATCCTCCCTGGTTCAACACCTGGATATATCTAGATATATGTGATGCTCTGAAGACTTAATTAGCTTCCAATAATATTCTATTTGCTAACTGATAAGTGAATCTTTGTCCAAAATGGACAATATTCCCAAATTACAACTGTATTGTATTATAAATCCACGATTTAAAACAGAAAATATTTTGTTTTCTTGGGTTAACACGAAAGCATAAGTTATCTTTAATAACAAATTACAGGGGATACTCAAATAGGTTTTCAATTTGATATGTTTGAGATTAATACACGGTACAACCTAATCTAACCATGAATATAGGGTAAATAATAACACTAATCATGAGTAAAGGAACTGAAATTCTGAGGTAACTCGAACCTATGATCAACAGACTGCCTGCCACCACCACTGTACCACCATGACCTGTTATAAGTTATACAATCTCGTATTCTACTTAATCGACAGGAAGTCTGGAGGCCTCTCCTGAAGCCGAACCAAGTTTTACATATATCCCCCAGGTACCCGGATGTGGATGAAATTCCAGTCGATTCATGGAATTCCAGGTTGTATAACTTATACCAGGTCCGGTGGTACATTGGTGGAGGTTGCGGCTGCCAGTTCGATGGTCGTGGGTTCGAGTCAATTAAGAGCTCCAGTTGATTTTCTCATTAGAAAATGAGAAAGTTAGTTGCATTAGTCTGACTTCTCTGTGTAACTAATTATGTAGTGGTTTTGAAGTGATCATAACGAGAGAACATCCTCCCTGAGGACAGATTTTAATATTGATATTTAGAGTGATGTTCTGCTAGGCCAGCGTTGGGCCTTAGGGCCAGCGACCTCCCAATATTACAACACCCCCACTTTACTCATGCAACACCCCCACTTTACTGATACAACACTCCCACTTTACTCATACAACACCCCCACTTTACTCACACAACACTCCCACTTTACTCATACAACACCCCCACTTTACTCATACAACACCCCCACTTTACTCACACAACACCCCCACTTTACTCACACAACACCCCCACTTTACTCATACAACACCCCCACTTTACTCATGCAACACTCCCACTTTACTTATACAACACCCCCACTTTACTCATGCAACACTCCCACTTTACTCACACAACACCCCCACTTTACTGATACAACACCCCCACTTTACTCACACAACACTCCCACTTTACTCACACAACACTCCCACTTTACTCATACAACACTCCCACTTTACTCATACAACACCCCCACTTTACTCATGCAACACTCCCACTTTACTCATACAACACTCCCACTTTACTCATACAACACTCCCACTTTACTCATACAACACTCCCACTTTACTCATACAACACCCCCACTTTACTCATGCAACACTCCCACTTTACTCATACAACACCCCCACTTTACTCATACAACACCCCCACTTTACTGATACAACACCCCCACTTTACTCACACAACACTCCCACTTTACTCACACAACACTCCCACTTTACTCATACAACACTCCCACTTTACTCACACAACACCCCCACTTTACTGATACAACACCCCCACTTTACTCACACAACACTCCCACTTTACTCACACAACACTCCCACTTTACTCATACAACACTCCCACTTTACTCATACAACACCCCCACTTTACTCATGCAACACTCCCACTTTACTCATACAACACCCCCACTTTACTCATACAACACCCCCACTTTACTCACACAACACTCCCACTTTACTCATACAACACTCCCACTTTACTCATGCAACACTCCCACTTTACTCATACAACACTCCCACTTTACTCACACAACACCCCCACTTTACTGATACAACACCCCCACTTTACTCACACAACACTCCCACTTTACTCACACAACACTCCCACTTTACTCATACAACACTCCCACTTTACTCATACACTCCCACTTTACTCACACAACACCCACTTTACTCACACAACACTCCCACTTTACTCATACAACACTCCCACTTTACTCATACAACACCCCACTTTACTCATGCAACACTCCCACTTTACTCATACAACACCCCCACTTTACTCATACAACACCCCCACTTTACTCATACAACACCCCCACTTTACTCATACAACACCCCCACTTTACTCATACAACACCCCCACTTTACTCATACAACACCCCCACTTTACTCATACAACACCCCCACTTTACTTATACAACACCCCCACTTTACTCATACAACACCCCCACTTTACTCATACAACACCCCCACTTTACTCATACAACACCCCCACTTTACTCATACAACACCCCCACTTTACTCATACAACACCCCCACTTTACTCATACAACACCCCCACTTTACTCATACAACACCCCCACTTTACTCATACAACACCCCCACTTTACTCATACAACACCCCCACTTTACTCATACAACACCTCCACTTTACTCATACAACACCCCCACTTTACTTATACAACACCTCCACTTTACTCATACAACACCCCCACTTTACTCATACAACACCCCACTTTACTCATACAACACCTCCACTTTACTCATACAACACCCCCACTTTACTCATCCAACACCTCCACTTTACTCATACAACACCCCCACTTTACTCATACAACACCCCCACTTTACTCATACAACACCTCCACTTTACTCATACAACACCCCCACTTTACTCATACAACACCCCCACTTTACTCATACAACACTCCCACTTTACTCATACAACACCCCCACTTTACTCATACAACACTCCCACTTTACTCATACAACACTCCCACTTTACTCATACAACACCCCCACTTTACTCATACAACACCCCCACTTTACTCATACAACACCCCCACTTTACTCATACAACACCTCCACTTTACTCATACAACACCCCCACTTTACTCATACAACACCCCCACTTTACCATACAACACCCCCACTTTACTCATACAACACCCCCACTTTACTCATACAACACCTCCACTTTACTCATACAACACCCCCACTTTACTCATACAACACCCCCACTTTACTCATACAACACCCCCACTTTACTCATACAACACCTCCACTTTACTCATACAACACTCCCACTTTACTCATACAACACCCCCACTTTACTTATACAACACCCCCACTTTACTCATACAACACCCCCACTTTACTCATACAACACCTCCACTTTACTCATACAACACTCCCACTTTACTCATACAACACTCCCACTTTACTCATACAACACCTCCACTTTACTTATACAACACCCCCACTTTACTTATACAACACCCCCACTTTACTCATACAACACTCCCACTTTACTCATACAACACCCCCACTTTACTCATACAACACTCCCACTTTACTCATACAACACCTCCACTTTACTTATACAACACCCCCACTTTACTTATACAACACCCCCACTTTACTTATACAACACTCCCACTTTACTTATACAACACCCCCACTTTACTTATACAACACTCCCACTTTACTTATACAACACTCCCACTTTACTTATACAACACTCCCACTTTACTCATACAACACCCCCACTTTACTTATACAACACCTCCACTTTACTCATACAACACCCCCACTTTACTCATACAACACCCCCACTTTACTCATACAACACCCCCACTTTACTCATACAACACCCCCACTTTACTCATACAACACCCCCACTTTACTCATACAACACCTCCACTTTACTCATGCAACACTCCCACTTTACTCATGCAACACCCCCACTTTACTCATCACCTTATTAACATGTAGAGTGTTATAAATCCATGAATTAAAATAGAAAATGTCTATGGTTTAAATATTTTCTTTGATAAACAACAACAGCAAAAGTTTTCTTTAATATCAAATAATAGGGAATACTCAAACAGTTTTTTTAATGTCATGTTTTGCTTGTTTGAGATTAATACAGTGAATAACGTAACCAGGTTATACTATTATTATTACACTGTATAACCTAACGTTTCCTCATGAGTATGGCACAAATGTGGTATAATATAATAACAGGGAATGGTTTTCAAATGACGCTGAGAACCAATCAGCGTTGATCTTGCGGCACAACTCCAGCCGCATGACATTTGAAAACTTGCATCGTTATTATAATGCAACATTTGTATCATGGCTAAGAGGAAAAGTTGGAACATGTTGATAAGGTGAAGGGTGAGGCAGGATGGATTACCAGCTAGCGTTTAGACTGTGTTGGAGTGCATGCCGTCAGTTTGTACTCTGACACGAGTGCACAAGAGTGCACTCACTCTAGATTCTGTAATTCGTAAGCTAGCATTTTGTTGTTTAGTGTCTAAGAGAAGCATATAGGTCCTGGGCTGTTCTGAGACCACGGAGGCTGCCGTAGCCTGTCTGTGAGATGAGTTACAGTCATTAGTACAGAATTCACATGTAAGTGTATGGAGAGAGGGAGAGGAGCGAGAGGTACTTGTGGTCAGGAAGGCCCAACGGTTCTCGTCACTTGTGTCAATATCGGCTGTACGCCGTGACGTCACAGGCACCACGTGACTAGAGGGAGGCCTACAGTTGGTTGTGGCACCTTGGGAGATGCCGCCCTCGCCTCTGATTGGTCAATTCGTAGAATAGAGGACACAAGCTTGGCCTGCTTCTGCCTCGCATTGAGGATCTGGGATCACGGCGATAGGTATGACCATAATTAAGAGTGCTTGAGTCCCCCCTGTCGTTTGTGTAATACACCAGAGAAAACATTAATAGTCAAGGGGAACTATTGTATATATTGCTTTGTTCGGTTCAATATTATACCGTTCTGTGTAGAGGTTTCCATGGATGTATTGTCTAAGGAGAAACCAGTGATTCCAGAGAGGTAAGGAATTATCGGTTGTGATACCCTTTGTAAGTAATTACTGTGTTTATTGATAAAGTACGTCTCCGTGGTGCAGCGGTAAGACACTCGCCTGGCGTTCCGTGAGCGCTTTGTCATGGGTTCGTATCCTGGCCAGGGAGGATTTACTAGGCGCAAATTCTTAACTGTAGCCTCTGTTTAACTCAACAGTAAAATGTGTACTTGGTTGTAAAAACGATTCTTCGAGGCGGGGATCGTATTCCAGGGACCTCGTAGGGGCCTCGTAGCCTGGTGGATAGCGCGCAGGGTTCGTGATTCTGTGGCGCGGGTTCGATTCCCGCACGAGGCAGAAACAAATGGGTAAAGTTTCTTTCACCCTGAATGCCCCCTGTTACCTAGCAGTAAATAGGTACCTGGGAGTTAGTCAGCTGTCAAGGGCTGCTTCCTGGGGGTGGAGGCCTGGTCGAGGACCGGGCCGCAGGGACACTAAAAAAAAAAAAAGCCCTGAAATCATCTCAAGATAACCTCAAGATAAGACCTGCCCGAAACGCTACGCGTACTAGTGGCTGTACAACCATGTAACAACTCTTGTATATATCTCAAAAAATATATATATATATATATATATATATATATATATATATATATATATATATATATATATATATATATATATATATGTATATATATATATATATATATATATATCTGTGTGATTATTAATTACGATTGTGTGCAGTGTTGTGGTGTAGCACTGAGAAGTGTAGCACTGAGAAGTGTAGCACTGAGAAGTGTAGCACTGAGAAGTGTAGCACTGAGAAGTGTAGCACTGAGAAGTGTAGCATTGTGTTACTGTGTTGTGCTTGTCTGTGTGACAAGGACTTGATGTGAACTTTAACTGGTAATTTGGGATTCTTTGAGAAGTTAATTATGGGTGAGTAACAATATGGAGTGATGTGATAGAGTTTTGCTTGGCAAGTTGTCGGGAGTGACAGCGTTAATGTAATTCGTTCTTGATTAATTATCTGTCCATTTGACACTAATTAATGTAATTACTCGCTGAGCATTTAATTGGTTCGAGTGACAGAGTAATTATAGTTAGCGAATTATTGTTTCGCTTTGTTTGATTGTCTGGGAGACACACGATTGTGATTAACGTAGATTCATTTGTTGCTGACTGTCCGATTGACAGTAAATTAACGTAATTAATCACCGAGACTAATTAGTGTAACTGATTAAACTATTGTTTGGATTGACACCCTTAGAGACGTGTGTTAACGTAATTGAGAAGGTTACCGGAGACTGTCTCAGTGACCCGCCTTGCTGTGTTTACATTGTTTTAATTGCATGTTGCTGCTATTGCTTGAATTTCAACTTTAGTCCTAAATGAGCGCCCATATTGTCCAGTTAGTTCATTATATCAGCTTGAAGTGGCACAGATTGGACTCTGTGATATTCTGAGAGCAACAAAGGAGATGGACTCCCTGCCTAGATAGCTATCTTCAAGTGGCACTTAAGGCTGTCTTTAAGTGGCACTTAAGGACATTAACGTATCGTTAAGATTGTTGTGCCTTGTATTAGATTTAGTTCTTTATGAATAAATTGGTATTGTTTCCTAAAGAAAAGTTTCTTTATGTCAATACCTTCCAATATTATTGTCCCACTCAGGCTGCAACACAGTGGATAGTTCTTGCAATATTTAGCGAAGGCCTGCTTCTGGGTTCGAATCCGATTCATAGCCGCATACATCAAATCAAACTTGGCGTGAGAACCCGTGAGCACCCTTAAGATTGCCCTAAACATTTGAGGAGCCTAACGACCTAGAGGATAAGGGTCCCATTGTTTAGGAACCCTGGCGGTGGTTCCCGCCGTTTATTGCTGTTTTAAAAAATTAATTTGCTCTGGCATTTAACGTGTTGACTTGTGCAGTCCTTTCTGACTGTGGCAGGACTCACCGTCACTGTAGTGAGGACTGTGGCAGGACTCACCGTCACTGTAGTGAGGACTGTGGCAGGACTCACCGTCACTGTAGTGAGGACTGTGACAACACTCACCGTCACTGTAGTGAGGACTGTGGCAGGACTCACCGTCACTGTAGTGAGGACTGTGGCAGGACTCACCGTCACTGTAGTGAGGACTGTGGCAGGACTCACCGTCACTGTAGTGAGGACTGTGGCAACACTCACCGTCACTGTAGTGAGGACTGTGACAACACTCACCGTCACTGTAGTGTGGGGGACGGAGCCTCTGGAAGGTGGTCCTGGCCTGGCCCGACATGGGGTTGTCCAGGTTGTTGCAGGAGCCGTCGACGGTGCGGTAGAACCTGTCCCTCTCCCGGCACTCGGGCTCCTGTGGACAGGTTTCAGACAGGACGGTGTTGGACAGTTCGAACTGCTGCAGACCGTAGCCAGCCTGGAGGGGACTCAGGCGGAACCTGTTCACCGGAGATAACAATGTAAAACTTGCATCAATAAGGTTGTTTGTGAGAGGTTTGTCTACGCTGGCGGAGAACAGAGTTGTAGCAGGGATCTAACAACGTTAAAGCAATGCTAAGTGTAAAGGAAATGAATAGTCGAAAGTTTGTCTAGAACATTAGTTTATTACACTAACATGAAATGGTCAATTACCCGCCAGCATGCGGCCCACTAGCATGTGGCCCGCCAGCATGTGGCCTACTAGCATGTGGCCCGCCAGCATGTGGCCCGCCAGCATGTGGCCCGCCAGCATGTGGCCCGCCAGCATGTAGCCTGCCAGCATGTGGCCCGCCAGCATGTAGCCTGCCAGCATGTGGCCCGCCAGCATTTGGCCCACTAGCATGTGGCCCGCCAGCATGTGGCCCGCCAGCATGTGGCCCGTCAGCATGTGGGCCACCAGCATGTGGCCCGCCAGCATGTGGCCCGCCAGCATGTGGCCCACCAGCATGTGGCCCACCAGCATGTGGCCCATCAGCATGTGGCCTGTTACGACTCTGGGTTCTTATTTGGAAACCAGAGGTCACTTTGACTTCTTAAAGTAATATTTATACATTGATGAATAGGATTGGATCATGTGAGAAAGATGTTTAATTGACAATAACATTTACATTCATGGTCCCTTAAATCCTGGGTAGGCATTTGTTTCCGTCTCCCTTGCCAGACGTAAGACGAATCTTGTTACTCACGGAGCATTCAGACTCTGTGCTTGTTGATTATTAAATATAATATTGAACTGGATATCAGCTATTCTTAGAATTGGTAAAGTAACTAGTAATGAATGTTGGTAAAGACTTGTAATGATTGTGGCTGTACGATCAGTTAGGTATCTTCCCGGCAGCTTCCTTGAGAGAGCTCTGAGGCTGTTCTACGGGTCTTCTCTGGCGAGCTGTGGTACCAGGCGGTCCTACACCCTTGTGGGCTGTTCCTCGTTCTTCTCTTCTCTTCCCCTACCTTATTCTGTGTTTCTGCTATACCCAGTTAAATACCTTATTATACTATTACCGTGCTATTAGCTAGGAGTGTCTTTATTTATTTTTGTAATCTAAGCCAGTGTTTTGGATCCCTAAGTGTATTCTTGGGTGATTAGTGAAACCACTTGTGCTAAAGTTTACCAGGGCTACTTTAAGTGTTTACAAGTGTCCCTTCAGGAAAGTAATCTTTACCCTAGTTTGCAGTTGTAAACCTTGTATCCTGCTTATGTGGACCATGGATTTAATGTAAGGTAGAGTGGTAAAGTAATTTACTGAATTTTGGTATATGTGGTTATTAGAGGGTTTAATAAGTAAGGTTGGAGTTTCAGGAGCGTCCTTTCATCCTGTTTGTAGTGGAATAGATGATCAACCATAGACAACAGACTTCTACTTAAAAACAAGTATTCATTGCAGGTGATGAGTCACAATAACGTGGCTGAAGTATGTTGACCATTCTCAATCGACTTGAGAATGGTCCAAACGGACCGAAACGTCGTCGTCCCTTCAACTTCTAGTGTGTGGTCTGGTCATCACAAGTATTCATTGCTGGGAATATTTTCCCTGGGGGCCGAGCCTATCTAATATCCACTATTTTAGGAACTTGACTTTAACTACTGGCCCTCCCTGAACAACCACCTGCGCCATAACAAGTGGGGGCCTGTCCGGGAGCTGAAATTTTTTATATACAAATTGTAAACAGTTAGATTTTTGAGTGCCGAAACTAAAATTTCTTGACTTCCTATGTACAATTGTGTGGTAGCCTAGGGTTCAGCTCAACTAGCAAAGAATACATCTTGCACTGACTGAACATCTAACTGGATCTCTTCACGATTGAGGTAAGTGTGGTCTTTTATCAGGGGTCGTGCAAATTTTTGTATTTTCAATTTTTTTTGCCAGCATCTAGATTAATTAGTGATGGTGGCTAAATTGCAGGAACTGGCAGAGTGGGAGGCAGTGACAAACTGGCAGAGAGTAGGGGTCCTATGAAGGACCTGGGTAAAGTACTCCCACAGAAACATTTACACGTGACCCCTGAAAGGGGGCCAGAAATAGCTTCAGACGAGGACTAACAATCCTGCAGGACACAGAGGCAGCTTAATGCTGGGAACCGTCACATTCTGACGGCAGCAAATTATTACAGTTTACATTAAAACAAAACTTGAGTAAATACTGCTTGGGAAACAAGTTTGTTGACTTATGTAAGAAATTACCGAGTAATATATTAGACTTGTGATCACGGGAGAGTTTCAACTGTTGAGGCCCGACAGGTTCTATCCCATCTTAGTGAGGTCTTGTCAACATCAGAGGCCCGAGACTGTTCAACACGCTTCCACTACACATAAGGGGCATAACTGGCCGACCCCTCACAGTGTTCAAGAGAGAACTATCAACATCAGAGGCCCGAGACTGTTCAACACGCTTCCACTACACATAAGAGGGCATAACATGGCCGACCCCTCACAGTGTTCAAGAGAGAACTATCAACATCAGAGGCCCGAGACTGTTCAACACGCTTCCACTACACATAAGGGACATAACTGGCCGACCCCTCACAGTGTTCAAGAGAGAACTATCAACATCAGAGGCCCGAGACTGTTCAACACGCTTCCACTACACATAAGGGGCATAACTGGCCGACCCCTCACAGTGTTCAAGAGAGAACTATCAACATCAGAGGCCCGAGACTGTTCAACACGCTTCCACTACACATAAGGGACATAACTGGCCGACCCCTCACAGTGTTCAAGAGAGAACTATCAACATCAGAGGCCCGAGACTGTTCAACACGCTTCCACTACACATAAGGGACATAACTGGCCGACCACTCACAGTGTTCAAGAGAGAACTGCATAAACACCTCCAAAGGATACCTGATCAACCAGGCTGTGACTCATACGTCAGGCTGCGAGCAGCCGCGTCCAACAGCCTGGTTGACCAGTCCAGCAACCAGGAGGCCTGGTCGACGACCAGGCCGCGGGGACGCTAAGCCCCAAAACACTTCAAGGTAACATCTTACAGGAGCTCCCTCTCATGCACCAATAAGCATTCTGTAGTTTCCTTTCTTCAAATGTTCTGTTATATCTACTTCTTGAACCATGTTTGGTGGCCTCAACCAAGTCACAATAGTAATTATTAATTATTAATATCGTTAAGACACATTCCTGTGCTGAGAGACGAAGCCTCAAACATATGACGAATGTTGGTCAGCCAGAGCCTTGTTGCCATAGTTCTTGGTGAAGGCTTCCTGTTGCAGGCGGTGAAGGCTTCCTGTTGCAGGCGGTGAAGGCTTCCTGTTGCAGGCGGTGAAGGCTTCCTGTTGCAGGTGGTGAAGGCTTCCTGTTGCAGGTGGTGAAGGCTTCCTGTTGCAGGTGGTGAAGGCTTCCTGTTGCAGGTGGTGAAGGCTTCCTGTTGCAGGTGGTGAAGGCTTCCTGTTGCAGGTGGTGAAGGCTTCCTGTTGGAGGCGGTGAAGGCTTCCTGTTGGAGGCGGTGAAGGCTTCCTGTTGCAGGCGGTGAAGGCTCCCTGTTGCAGGCGGTGAAGGCTTCCTGTTGCAGGCGGTGAAGGCTTCCTGTTGCAGGCGGTGAAGGCTTCCTGTTGCAGGCGGTGAAGGCTTCCTGTTGCAGGCGGTAAAGGCTTCCTGCTGCAGGCGGTAAAGGCTTCCTGTTGCAGGCGGTGAAGGCTTCCTGTTGCAGGCGGTGAAGGCTTCCTGTTGCAGGCGGTGAAGGCTTCCTGTTGCAGGCGGTGAAGGCTTCCTGTTGCAGGCGGTGAAGGCTTCCTGTTGCAGGCGGTGAAGGTAGACCTGTTGCAGGCAGTGAAGGCTTGCTGTTGCAGGCGGTGAAGGCTTCCTGTTGCAGGCGGTGAAGGTAGACCTGTTGCAGGCGGTGAAGGCTTCCTGTTGCAGGCGGTGAAGGCTTCCTGTTGCAGGCGGTGAAGGCTTCCTGTTGCAGACGGTGAAGGCTTCCTGTTGCAGGCGGTGAAGGCTTCCTGTTGCAGGCGGTAAAGGTAGACCTGTTGCAGGCGGTGAAGGCTTCCTGTTGCAGGCGGTGAAGGCTTCCTGTTGCAGGCGGTGAAGGCTTCCTGTTGCAGGCGGTGAAGGCTTGCTGTTGCAGGCGGTGAAGGTTCCTGTTGCAGGCGGTGAAGGCTTCCTGTTGCAGACTGCAGGCCACAGCGTCACAGTAAACACCGTCACTATACCAGGCCCAGAACGCCTATACTTCAGTAACGAGCGAGTGAGCTAACGAGAGGACTAAGCTTACCTGTTCAGGAGGTGGTTGCCCGCCATGGCGTTAACAAAGGCGTCTCGACCAAGTTTAATAGCCAGAGGTGATGTCAGGAAGTTTTGGAGATGTCCGAAGGCCGGGTCCGTCACCTCCGTCACCTCGATGTCCCTCGCTCGCAGCTCCTGCAACACCACAACACAGTAATAATATTGTTTACTTGACGAGAAGAACGATAAATAATCCAAGAACATTAATGCAATTGTGTGTACAGTGGATTATAATGACTGGAGTGAAGAACACGAAGGACCGTGTTTGACCACACCACACACTAGAAGGTGAAGGAACGACGACGTTTCGGTCCGTCCTGGACCATTCTCAAGTCGATGAGAATGAATCCAGGTTCTTGATCGACTTGAAAATGGTCCAGGACGGACCGAAACGTCGTCGTCCCTTCACCTTCTAGTGTGTGGTCTGGCCAAACTACTTCAGCCACGTTATTGTGACTCCTCGACTGCATGAAAGAAGGTGTATTTACCCTGTCCAAGAGGTCCTTGGTCGCCAGAGCCCTGAAGCCCGCTTTACCAGCCTCGTTGATGATGTCATTAGAGAAGCCAAGCGGAGGTATGTTGATTTCTGGCTGGGTGAACAGCTGCCTCAGGTTACCTGCACAACACACAGGTCTCAGCTCCACGTTCATTGTGACACAGGTGTTATATGTGTTCCATAACTTACACTTACTAGTATATATTATAATTATCAGGCTTATTGCTACATATGTGCCTTCATGTAGTCAGTATTGTTGAGTTCTCGAGGGTGTTCTTCATGCTTGAATGTATATTCAATGTGTATTCATATTAATTCAGCATTATGTGGAGTGGGGAGTGTGTTGGTTTGTGTGTGGTGAGTTAAGGGTTGGGGTAGTGGGGCATAGATCTGATACCCTTACCAGATACTCAGATCATTCACAGACCCATACAATGATACCCTTACCAGGTACACAGATCATACACAGACTCATACAATGATACCCTCACCAGGTACACAGATCATACACAGACCCATACAATGATACCCTTACCAGGTACACAGATCATACACAGACCCATACAATGATACCCTCACCAGGTACACAGATCATACACAGACCCATACAATGATACCCTCACCAGGTACACAGATCATACACAGACCCATACAATGATACCCTTACCAGGTACACAGATCATACACAGACCCATACAATGATACCCTTACCAGGTACACAGATCATACACAGACCCATACAATGATACCCTTACCAGGTACACAGATCATTCACAGACCCATACAATGATACCCTCACCAGGTACACAGATCATACACAGACCCATACAATGATACCCTCACCAGGTACACAGATCATACACAGACCCATACAATGATACCCTTACCAGGTACACAGATCATACACAGACCCATACAATGATACCCTTACCAGGTACACAGATCATACACAGACCCATACAATGATACCCTCACCAGGTACACATATCATACACAGACCCATACAATGATACCCTCACCAGGTACACAGATCATACACAGACCCATACAATGATACCCTCACCAGGTACACAGATCATACACAGACCCATACAATGATACCCTCACCAGGTACACAGATCATACACAGACCCATACAATGATACCCTCACCAGGTACACAGATCATACACAGACCCATACAATGATACCCTCACCAGGTACACAGATCATACATAGACCCATACAATGATACCCTTACCAGGTACACAGATCATACACAGACCCATACAATGATACCCTTACCAGGTACACAGATCATACACAGACCCATACAATGATACCCTTACCAGGTACACAGATCATACACAGACCCATACAATGATACCCTCACCAGGTACACAGATCATACACAGACCCATACAATGATACCCTCACCAGGTACACAGATCATACACAGACCCATACAATGATACCCTTACCAGGTACACAGATCATACACAGACCCATACAATGATACCCTCATCAGGTACACAGATCATACACAGACCCATACAATGATACCCCTCACCAGGTACACAGATCATACACAGACCCATACAATGATACCCTTACCAGGTACACAGATCATACACAGACTCATACAATGATACCCTCACCAGGTACACAGATCATACACAGACCCATACAATGATACCCTTACCAGGTACACAGATCATACACAGACCCATACAATGATACCCTCACCAGGTACACAGATCATACACAGACCCATACAATGATACCCTCACCAGGTACACAGATCATACACAGACCCATACAATGATACCCTCACCAGGTACACAGATCATACACAGACCCATACAATGATACCCTCACCAGGTACACAGATCATACACAGACCCATACAATGATACCCTTACCAGGTACACAGATCATACACAGACCCATACAATGATACTTATGTTACTGGGGGAAAGAATGTAACACATTAGCCTGATGAGATATGAACGAACAAAGACATTCGAAGCTATTTGACGTGTGATGTTAATGAGGCTCTAATCTGGAGGGGAGTTGAGGACCCCCGTCCGAGGCATCATTTTAATTTGTTTATTGTATTTGTTTGAATTAAATGTATACTTATTACAAGATATGTTTCCTCTGGTTCCCTGTGAGGCGTTTATTGGGAGACGTGATAACTTCGACCTGTCGAAGTTATAATGAACAGAGGTTACAGGGGAACTGTTTTAAAGAACAGGTCAGTAACGCAGAGGAAGATTGAGTCACTTGTGACTAAGTGTAGGCGTGAGTGACATGACAGATGAGTGACATGACGACATGTGAGTGACTGAGCCTGTAGTTCCCATATCAGTGACATGATGCTTCTCTCCCGCAGTTAAGTACGACTCCCAGTGAGTCCTTACTGAGGCTGCTGGCATAGTTGTGGTGTCAGGGAAGGTGGCGACACTGAGGGTGTCTGCCAGTTACAGTTGTTGTAATGGTCGCCCCTCTCAACAGTGTGGTAATTTAGGAAGCCACAACTTGGTAATGAGGGATGAGGCTAACCCTTAGCTTTATAAGTAGTTATAATAAGCATGAGTAAACACTACACATATACAGTATACACACATCAAGTACTGTATACATGAAACTACAATACACTGCAGTAAGAACACTTGTGAGATAATTAAGATAATTACTTCTGTTAGGCTGTTCTGGGCAGCAGACTCCCGCAGCTGCACCGAATATGGAGCAGTAGAGTTGTGTCTGGTTCTCCACCTCCTGGTAGCAGGGGGCGCAGGCCACAAGCGGCATACACAGCATGCCATCTGGACACTCTCTGGGCCCAGGGAACTGACGTATTTCTGCAGGAAGAAGCAGTTGTTATCGCCCACAATCGACTTGAGAATGGTCCAAGACGGACCGAAACGTCGTCGTCCCTTCACTTTCTAGTGTGTTGTTTGGTCAACAACAGTGGCTACACCGACCTATATATTCATATACCGTATTTGCCAGCGTATAAGACACGTTTTTGTATATTTTAAAATATATAAAAAATTGGCCAGTGTCTAATACGGCTGTATTACGTCTGTGAGCGCAGTAGGCTAGGGAGCCGGACCAGCTCACTCGGTAAGTTAACTAGTCACAAAAATCGTAGCTAATAATATTGAAAACAACTGAAATTATTACAGTAAATTGTGTTACTGATAATAAAATATTGAGACCAAGCCGAGTTATCAGAGTCTGTTATCACAAACTTACGACAAATTGCTTACGATCCGTCGGGAGTTATGAAGGAAGCTCACAGCATCTCACCACCTCACCCAGTATACATAACCCACACCTGGTGTATGCCATACATTATTTACCGACTGGGTTACCTTTAAGAAACATTTATTCATTATCTAAATAAAAAATGCTCCTAGAAATTTGAAAGCAATGTTAAATTTTCATCCGCCTCTCAGCGAATTGCAGTCTTGGTGGGCTCCTGGTGTGCCCTCAGTCTTGGTGGGCTCCTGGTGTGCCCTCAGTCTTGGTGGGCTCCTGGTGTGCCCTCAGTCTTGGTGGGCTCCTGGTGTGCCCTCAGTCTTGGTGGGCTCCTGGTGTGCCCTCAGTCTTGGTGGGCTCCTGGTGTGCCCTCAGTCTTGGTGGGCTCCTGGTGTGCCCTCAGTCTTGGTGGGCTCCTGGTGTGCCCTCAGTCTTGGTGGGCTCCTGGTGTGCCCTCAGTCTTGGTGGGCTCCTGGTGTGCCCTCAGTCTTGGTGGGCTCCTGGTGTGCCCTCAGTCTTGGTGGGCTCCTGGTGTGCCCTCAGTCTTGGTGGGCTCCTGGTGTGCCCTCAGTCTTGGTGGGCTCCTGGTGTGCCCTCAGTCTTGGTGGGCTCCTGGTGTGCCCTCAGTCTTGGTGGGCTCCTGGTGTGCCCTCAGTCTTGGTGGGCTCCTGGTGTGCCCTCAGTCTTGGTGGGCTCCTGGTGTGCCCTCAGTCTTGGTGGGCTCCTGGTGTGCCCTCAGTCTTGGTGGGCTCCTGGTGTGCCCTCAGTCTTGGTGGGCTCCTGGTGTGCCCTCAGTCTGGTGGTGGGCTCCTGGTGTGCCCTCAGTCTTGGTGGGCTCCTGGTGTGCCCTCAGTCTTGGTGGGCTCCTGGTGTGCCCTCAGTCTTGGTGGGCTCCTGGTGTGCCCTCAGTCTTGGTGGGCTCCTGGTGTGCCCTCAGTCTTGGTGGGCTCCTGGTGTGCCCTCAGTCTTGGTGGGCTCCTGGTGTGCCCTCAGTCTTGGTGGGCTCCTGGTGTGCCCTCAGTCTTGGTGGGCTCCTGGTGTGCCCTCAGTCTTGGTGGGCTCCTGGTGTGCCCTCAGTCTTGGTGGGCTCCTGGTGTGCCCTCAGTCTTGGTGGGCTCCTGGTGTGCCCTCAGTCTTGGTGGGCTCCTGGTGTGCCCTCAGTCTTGGTGGGCTCCTGGTGTGCCCTCAGTCTTGGTGGGCTCCTGGTGTGCCCTCAGTCTTGGTGGGCTCCTGGTGTGCCCTCAGTCTTGGTGGGCTCCTGGTGTGCCCTCAGTCTTGGTGGGCTCCTGGTGTGCCCTCAGTCTTGGTGGGCTCCTGGTGTGCCCTCAGTCTTGGTGGGCTCCTGGTGTGCCCTCAGTCTTGGTGGGCTCCTGGTGTGCCCTCAGTCTTGGTGGGCTCCTGGTGTGCCCTCAGTCTTGGTGGGCTCCTGGTGTGCCCTCAGTCTTGGTGGGCTCCTGGTGTGCCCTCAGTCTTGGTGGGCTCCTGGTGTGCCCTCAGTCTTGGTGGGCTCCTGGTGTGCCCTCAGTCTTGGTGGGCTCCTGGTGTGCCCTCAGTCTTGGTGGGCTCCTGGTGTGCCCTCAGTCTTGGTGGGCTCCTGGTGTGCCCTCAGTCTTGGTGGGCTCCTGGTGTGCCCTCAGTCTTGGTGGGCTCCTGGTGTGCCCTCAGTCTTGGTGGGCTCCTGGTGTGCCCTCAGTCTTGGTGGGCTCCTGGTGTGCCCTCAGTCTTGGTGGGCTCCTGGTGTGCCCTCAGTCTTGGTGGGCTCCTGGTGTGCCCTCAGTCTTGGTGGGCTCCTGGTGTGCCCTCAGTCTTGGTGGGCTCCTGGTGTGCCCTCAGTCTTGGTGGGCTCCTGGTGTGCCCTCAGTCTTGGTGGGCTCCTGGTGTGCCCTCAGTCTTGGTGGGCTCCTGGTGTGCCCTCAGTCTTGGTGGGCTCCTGGTGTGCCCTCAGTCTTGGTGGGCTCCTGGTGTGCCCTCAGTCTTGGTGGGCTCCTGGTGTGCCCTCAGTCTTGGTGGGCTCCTGGTGTGCCCTCAGTCTTGGTGGGCTCCTGGTGTGCCCTCAGTCTTGGTGGGCTCCTGGTGTGCCCTCAGTCTTGGTGGGCTCCTGGTGTGCCCTCAGTCTTGGTGGGCTCCTGGTGTGCCCTCAGTCTTGGTGGGCTCCTGGTGTGCCCTCAGTCTTGGTGGGCTCCTGGTGTGCCCTCAGTCTTGGTGGGCTCCTGGTGTGCCCTCAGTCTTGGTGGGCTTCTGGTGTGCCCTCAGTCTTGGTGGGCTCCTGGTGTGCCCTCAGTCTTGGTGGGCTCCTGGTGTGCCCTCAGTCTTGGTGGGCTCCTGGTGTGCCCTCAGTCTTGGTGGGCTCCTGGTGTGCCCTCAGTCTTGGTGGGCTCCTGGTGTGCCCTCAGTCTTGGTGGGCTCCTGGTGTGCCCTCAGTCTTGGTGGGCTCCTGGTGTGCCCTCAGTCTTGGTGGACTTCTGGTGTGCCCTCAGTCTTGGTGGGCTCCTGGTGTGCCCTCAGTCTTGGTGGGCTCCTGGTGTGCCCTCAGTCTTGGTGGGCTCCTGGTGTGCCCTCAGTCTTGGTGGGCTCCTGGTGTGCCCTCAGTCTTGGTGGGCTCCTGGTGTGCCCTCAGAGCAGAAGCAAGCGCCCAATGAACTTTGGCGGGTGGCTTCTGCTCCGCCGGGGACCACTGGATGACTTTTTGCGTTTAGTTGGGGCCGAGTTTTTGGTTTTGCTGCCTGGTGTTCTCCGTGTGGGGCGGGGCCGGTGCTTGTCACCCTGAGGGACTCCTGAGGCTTCCTAATCATCTGTTCGTCTGTGAGTTTATTGGCCGCGAGGTACATTAGTTTCCGCTGATAAGCAACACTCATCTCGCCATTAGGCTTCGCGATTAACCCTTCGTGGGGTACGCGGGGCGCATCCGACCCCACGGTCGCCGTCGCCCCAAATCAACAACAACAACAGCTGACCTTAAAGGAGGTAAGAGTTGAGGTACAAAATCCACTTTAAAATATCTTTCAATACATGTATGATCAAACATAATAAAAAAAAATGTTTCCACAAAATATCCTTGTAAAACAGGAGTGCGTCCTCTGCGAGGATGAGTCTCATACCTGTCGACGTATTTTATTCACTTGAATACAATTTTTACGTTTCGAAAATAAAAATGTGTGTAGCCTAGGGGAGGAGGTGACAATGGTGTCAGTGGGCCTGTGTGCGATACCATCAATCACTAATCATGCGAACGTTGCGAGTAATGGATATATATGCACCTTGCTGACTTTCGTTAATTAAACCCCTATCATTGGGAGATTATAGTACTAGGCTTTCGCTTTTGTAGCTCAGGTTCGAGCCCCCTGAGCCCGTGTATTGAATACAGTAAATATTATCCCAGGGCTGAGGTACCGTCCTGGCGGCAAGGACTCTGCTGCCCTGGGTATTGACAAGCCTTGGCAGCTGCTGGCATGTAGAAGGTCTCCCTATATTGGCACAGCGACGGCCTCGCTTCTTCCAGGGTTGGGGTTCAATCCACAATGATCCAAGCAAATGGGTACCTGTTCCTTCACTCCATTCTTTTATCCCAGCTCCTTGTCCTCGTATCCCTTCTAAATGCTCTATAGTCATACTGGTTTAGTGTTTTCTCCTAATAATTACCTTACCTCACCTGCATATAAGCGTTCATGCGCTTATTGAATTCTTGAGTGCTTAGTAATATATGGAAGTAAGGAAGGCACTTTCTTGCTTCCACTGTAAGGGTGTATCTATAAGCATATAGACATTCACACCCTATATAGTTTCTAAACATATATGTATACAGTGATTTATGCATATAGCGTCCAGAATGCAAAATTTAAAATTGCCGCCAAGGGTGCCTTTGTGTGTGTCAGTCATGCTGCGCGTGCGCAGGGTCGGTCATGCTGCGCGTGCGCAGTGTAAGTCGTGCTGGCGAACGCTTAGAAATACGAAGTCTTTGGAAATTATATTTCCATTGCCATATTATTGTAATTAAATTATTTAACGAAAATGTAATGCAAAGAAATTATGCCATTTTATTATACATATAATTAAAAATAAATTTAAAAGCAAGGAACTAGTTAATAAAGGACTTTAAGGAAATAACATGAAAAAGACAAAAATAATATTGGAACTAAACAAGGAAGAAAAACTAGATGCGGGTGGTAGAGGCAGCAATGGCAGCCAAACAATACTCTGACATTTCCAGGTTATGTGGGCCTTGGGGAGAACAGACTCGCATCTACCCCATTCCAATGGTCTCACGCGTAGTTCCATGTTCATGACACGTACACAAATGGTGTTTCCTGTTAAGGATGTAGCGGATAATAGTAGATATGAATTTTGGATTTGTGCGAAGAGGGGCAAAATGTCGCCCCACGCTACACACATGGCATTATCTTGGGGACATGTAACCACTGCTTGTCATGCAATTTGGGGTCAGTAATAATGCCAAAGTGGCAGTATTTAACATTATTGTAGGGATATATTGAAGTGGGTACACAGTGCCAAAGTGGCGCCTTGTGGCATTATTCAACTTGTATTATACTTTCCTCTCTGTATGCATGGAACATTTTGTGTATTACTCTACATGGGACAATCATTAATTGTTTCATTGGAAATTTGATCTATGATGAAGATATATTTTGTTTGCAGTTTCTATAATGTTAATTGCAGAGAAAATTAAAATTTTCTAGTCTGAAACTCATTCAGGTATTTGGCAATAGAGCGAATGTAATTATTTTTCATAATTTTTGTTAAATAAAGTACACACAAATACATCTACAAATCTACAATGCAAGTAACTTGCATATAAGTACATTTATTTCACCTTTAACAGGACATTCATTTTAATAATGTTTAAATTAATATTTAATTAATTTCATTGTGAATGTTAATTATAACATTGCCTTAGTGAGGGTATTGAGACGAGTCAAGTTCCTCAGGCAGGTGTGTGTGTAATGTTAATGTTTTATCATATCTGTTCACATATGGCGCGTGTCCTCGACACCACGTGTGTGGCAACTCGGGTCGACTCCCACCAAAGTATGGGACTCGGGCAACACTCTCCAGGATTGTTCTTCATCCCCACAGGACCCAGAGTCCCGTGAAGCCTTATTACGAAAATTGTAACCAAAATGTTTTCTAATTTCTCTAAAAACGTAAATTATATTACACTGATGTACACCTGTTGAGTCCCGCCAGAATTGTAATGGTTAGTATAAGTTGAGAGGAATAATGCTCCCAAATTATAGTTCTCTAATATATTCTACGCACATAATAAGTTGTGATGGAGAAGCGAATATGTTTGATCCTTACCTCCGTAGGAGAGTGTAGGAGGCTGAGGCTGGAGAGGTCGGAGGTGTTGAGGGACGGGGGTGACCTGGGGGCCCAGCCCGGAGCCGGGGCCCAGGAAGGGCTGGGTGACCTGAGGGCCCAGCCCGGAGCCGGGGCCCAGGAAGGGCTGGGTGACCTGAGGGCCCAGGCCGGAGGCGGGGCCCAGGAACGGCTGGGTGACCGCCGGGGTGCGGCTGGGGGTGTAGACGGCCTGGCTGGACCTCAGAGGCGCCTTCGTCAGCTGATTCCGGGACGCCTTGTGGAACTAAATAAATGTATTCATTATGAGATGCTGCAATGTTATGAATGTTGCTTGTGAGAGGCCGTGAGCGGTCGTGAGCGGTTATGAGAGGTTGTGAGAGGCCGTGAGCGGCCGTGAGCGGTTATGAGAGGTTGTGAGAGGCCGTGAGCGGCCGTGAGCGGTTATGAGAGGTTGTGAGAGGCCGTGAGCGGCCGTGAGCGGTTATGAGAGGTTGTGAGAGGCCGTGAGCGGCCGTGAGCGGTTATGAGAGGTTGTGAGAGGCCGTGAGCGGCCGTGAGCGGTTATGAGAGGTTGTGAGAGGCCGTGAGCGGCCGTGAGCGGTTATGAGAGGTTGTGAGAGGCCGTGAGAGGTTGTGAGAGACATATACAACACTAAATTTAGAAAAAATCTTCCCGAGGGAAATGTTTATGAATGAAATCCTCCGTAGTTTGGAGAGGAAGAGAGGTGATGAGGTGAAGAGACCGGGGCGGCGGCGGGAGGGGTCGCCGCGCCCATGGCGGCGGTCAAGGCACAGGACCAGGCAACTGGTCACATGTCAGTTAATCAAATAACTGGAAAAACAAGGAAAGTTTTTGTGGAGGTGAGTGAGAGGTGATCTGGATCATGGCGAACACGTCATGATACTGACATGAGGTTGAGGCTCGTCTGTGACGTGATCTAGGGGCTGGTGTGCGACGTGATCTAGGGGCTGGTGTGTGACGTGATCTAGGGGCTGGTGTGTGACGTGATCTAGGGGCTGGTGTGTGTCACGTGATCTACGGGCTGGTCTGTGACGTGATCTAGGGGCTGGTGTGTGACGTGATCTAGGGGCTGGTGTGTGACGTGATCTAGGGGCTGGTGTGTGTCACGTGATCTACGGGCTGGTCTGTGACGTGATCTAGGGGCTGGTGTGTGACGTGATCTAGGGGCTGGTGTGTGTCACGTGATCTAGGTGGTGGTGTGTGACGTGATCTAGGGGCTGGTGTGTGTCACGTGATCTACGGGCTGGTCTGTGACGTGATCTAGGGGCTGGTGTGTGACGTGATCTAGGGGCTGGTGTGTGACGTGATCTAGGGGCTGGTGTGTGTCACGTGATCTAGGTGGTGGTGTGTGACGTGATCTAGGGGCTCGTCTGTGACGTGATCTAGGGGCTGGTGTGTGTCACGTGATCTACGGGCTGGTCTGTGACGCGATCTAGGGGCTGGTGTGTGACGTGATCTAGGGGCTGGTGTGTGACGTGATCTAGGGGCTGGTGTGTGACGTGATCTAGGGGCTGGTGTGTGACGTGACCTAGGTGGTATGTGACGTGATCTAGGGGCTGGTGTGTGACGTAATCTAGGGGCTGGTGTGTGACGTGATCTAGGGGCTGGTGTGTGACGTGACCTAGGTGGTGTGTGACGTGATCTAGGGGCTGGTGTGTGACGTGATCTAGGGGCTGGTGTGTGACGTGACCTAGGTGGAATGTGACGTGATCTAGGGGCTGGTGTGTGACGTAATCTAGGGGCTGGTGTGTGACGTGATCTAGGGGCTGGTGTGAGACGTGATCTAGGGGCTGGTCTGTGACGTAATCTAGGTGGTGGTGTGTGACGTGATCTAGGGGCTGGTCTGTGACGTGATCTAGGTGGTGATGTGTGACGTGATCTAGGTGGTGGTGTGTGACGTGATCTAGGGGCTGGTGTGTGACGTGATCTAGGTGGTGGTGTGTGACGTGATCTAGGGGCTGGTCTGTGACGTGATCTAGGGGCTGGTGTGTGACGTGATCTAGGTGGTGGTGTGTGACGTGATCTAGGGCCTGGTGTGTGACGTGATCTAGGTGGTGATGTGTGACGTGATCTAGGGGCTGGTGTGTGACGTGATCTAGGTGGTGGTGTGTGACGTGATCTAGGGGCTGGTCTGTGACGTGATCTAGGGGCTGGTGTGTGACGTGATCTAGGTGGTGGTGTGTGACGTGATCTAGGGGCTGGTGTGTGACGTGATCTAGGGGCTGGTGTGTGACGTGATCTAGGTGGTGGTGTGTGACGTGATCTAGGTGGTGGAGTGTGACGTGATCTAGGGGCTGGTGTGTGACGTGATCTAGGGGCTGGTGTGTGACGTGATCTAGGGGCTGGTGTGTGACGTGATCTAGGTGGTGGTGTGTGACGTGATCTAGGTGGTGGAGTGTGACGTGATCTAGGGGCTGGTGTGTGACGAGATCTAGGTGGTGGTGTGTGACGTGATCTAGGTGGTGGTATGAGACGTGATCTAGGTGCTAGTGTGTGACGTGATCTAGGTGGTGGAGTGTGACGTGATCTAGGTGCTGGTGTGTGACGTGATCTAGGTGGTGGTGAGTGACGTGATCTAGGGGCTGGTGTGTGACGTGATCTAGGGGCTGGTGTGTGACGTGATCTAGGTGGTGGTATGTGACGTGATCTAGGTGCTGGTGTGTGACGTGATCTAGGTGGTGGTATGTGACGTGATCTAGGTGCTGGTGTGTGACGTGATCTAGGTGGTGGTATGAGACGTGATCTAGGTGCTGGTGTGTGACGTGATCTAGGTGGTGGAGTGTGACGTGATCTAGGTGCTGGTGTGTGACGTGATCTAGGTGGTGGTATGAGACGTGATCTAGGTGCTGGTGTGTGACGTGATCTAGGTGGTGGAGTGTGACGTGATCTAGGTGCTGGTGTGTGACGTGATCTAGGTGCTGGTGAGTGACGTGATCTAGGGGCTGGTGTGTGACGTGATCTAGGGGCTGGTGTGTGACGTGATCTAGGGGCTGGTGTGTGACGTGATCTAGGTGGTGGAGTGTGACGTGATCTAGGTGCTGGTGTGTGACGTGATCTAGGTGGTGGTATGAGACGTGATCTAGGTGCTGGTGTGTGACGTGATCTAGGTGGTGGAGTGTGACGTGATCTAGGTGCTGGTGTGTGACGTGATCTAGGTGGTGGTGAGTGACGTGATCTAGGGGCTGGTGTGTGACGTGATCTAGGGGCTGGTGTGTGACGTGATCTAGGGGCTGGTGTGTGACGTGATCTAGGGGCTGGTGTGTGACGTGATCTAGGGGCTGGTGTGTGACGTGATCTAGGTGGTGGTGTGTGACGTGATCTAGGTGGTGGAGTGTGACGTGATCTAGGGGCTGGTGTGTGACGTGATCTAGGTGGTGGTGTGTGACGTGATCTAGGGGCTGGTGTGTGACGTGATCTAGGGGCTGGTGTGTGACGTGATCTAGGGGCTGGTGTGTGACGTGATCTAGGTGGTGGTGTGTGACGTGATCTAGGTGGTGGAGTGTGACGTGATCTAGGGGCTGGTGTGTGACGTGATCTAGGTGGTGGTGTGTGACGTGATCTAGGGGCTGGTGTGTGACGTGATCTAGGGGCTGGTGTGTGACGTGATCTAGGGGCTGGTGTGTGACGTGATCTAGGGGCTGGTGTGTGACGTGATCTAGGGGCTGGTGTGTGACGTGATCTAGGGGCTGGTGTGTGACGTGATCTAGGGGCTGGTGTGTGACGTGATCTAGGTGGTGGTGTGTGACGTGATCTAGGTGGTGGAGTGTGACGTGATCTAGGGGCTGGTGTGTGACGTGATCTAGGTGGTGGTGTGTGACGTGATCTAGGGGCTGGTGTGTGACGTGATCTAGGGGCTGGTGTGTGTCACGTGATCTAGGTGGTGGTGTGTGACGTGATCTAGGGGCTCGTCTGTGACGTGATCTAGGGGCTGGTGTGTGTCACGTGATCTACGGGCTGGTCTGTGACGTGATCTAGGGGCTGGTGTGTGACGTGATCTAGGGGCTGGTGTGTGACGTGATCTAGGGGCTGGTGTGTGACGTGATCTAGGGGCTGGTGTGTGACGTGACCTAGGTGGTATGTGACGTGATCTAGGGGCTGGTGTGTGACGTAATCTAGGGGCTGGTGTGTGACGTGATCTAGGGGCTGGTGTGTGACGTGACCTAGGTGGTGTGTGACGTGATCTAGGGGCTGGTGTGTGACGTGATCTAGGGGCTGGTGTGTGACGTGACCTAGGTGGTATGTGACGTGATCTAGGGGCTGGTGTGTGACGTAATCTAGGGGCTGGTGTGTGACGTGATCAAGGGGCTGTTGTGAGACGTGATCTAGGGGCTGGTCTGTGACGTAATCTAGGTGGTGGTGTGTGACGTGATCTAGGGGCTGGTCTGTGACGTGATCTAGGTGGTGGTGTGTGACGTGATCTAGGGGCTGGTGTGTGACGTGATCTAGGTGGTGGTGTGTAACGTGATCTAGGGGCTGGTCTGTGACGTGATCTAGGGGCTGGTGTGTGACGTGATCTAGGTGGTGGTGTGTGACGTGATCTAGGGGCTGGTGTGTGACGTGATCTAGGTGGTGATGTGTGACGTGATCTAGGGGCTGGTGTGTGACGTGATCTAGGTGGTGGTGTGTGACGTGATCTAGGGGCTGGTCTGTGACGTGATCTAGGGGCTGGTGTGTGACGTGATCTAGGTGGTGGTGTGTGACGTGATCTAGGGGCTGGTGTGTGACGTGATCTAGGGGCTGGTGTGTGACGTGATCTAGGTGGTGGTGTGTGACGTGATCTAGGTGGTGGAGTGTGACGTGATCTAGGGGCTGGTGTGTGACGTGAACTAGGGGCTGGTGTGTGACGTGATCTAGGGGCTGGTGTGTGACGTGATCTAGGTGGTGGTGTGTGACGTGATCTAGGTGGTGGAGTGTGACGTGATCTAGGGGCTGGTGTGTGACGTGATCTAGGTGGTGGTGTGTGACGTGATCTAGGTGGTGGTATGAGACGTGATCTAGGTGCTAGTGTGTGACGTGATCTAGGTGGTGGAGTGTGACGTGATCTAGGTGCTGGTGTGTGACGTGATCTAGGTGGTGGTGAGTGACGTGATCTAGGGGCTGGTGTGTGACGTGATCTAGGGGCTGGTGTGTGACGTGATCTAGGTGGTGGTATGTGACGTGATCTAAGTGCTGGTGTGTGACGTGATCTAGGTGGTGGTATGTGACGTGATCTAGGTGCTGGTGTGTGACGTGATCTAGGTGGTGGTATGAGACGTGATCTA